GACTGGACGGCGCTGGTCTCGTCGCCCGTGTGGTAAACAAAGCTGTAACTCTCTCCTCGCGGAGAGGAATCAATGTCTGGTAGCTCTCTGAGGTACAAACTCGCGGAGGAAACGAGACCTCCTCCATCGAGACATCGATCTTAGTCTTGCCGTAACGTGCATGTTGATGCACCTTAAGGGAATGCTGTCGCAAAATAGTATCGATAGAGCTGTTTGGTAATTCCTGGCGAAAAAGTGTCAGTGTCTTTGATTCTTCTCATACTTTTAACTGTGGGGAACGATCTTGTTTACTCAAATAGGAACGATTCTCGTAAAGATAATGAATTTGAATAATGAAGCTTTAATTCTAGATAAATGAAATATATTTATAAATAACAAATCTTTGGCGCTCGAAGTGTTATCTCATTTTATATATATATATTTTTTTTTAAATCTAGAAATTATGTATCTACTTGTCCATAAATATATTCATAAAATCAGCTAGAAATTCTTCTTAATAATCGTTTTCCGTGGATGTCATCGAATTTCCCCAGAGAGTCAAGTAACCGAAACGAAAGCAATGACTCACAGCGGAGATTTTGCAATGTGAAATTAATGATTCATGTGGGAAGTCGGGCGAATGCTTGGCATTTCGTGGATCGTTTGCCGCGAATTCCTTCTCATCTATCTTGGTCGCCGCATAAGGCAACCGTTGACGCTTCTGATAGACGAAGAGAGAACAAAACGAACAACGAAGAATCTCTATCTCAAATTTAATGACCGAGAGTGAGAACAACAAATAAATAAATACCAATCGGGCAGTAAATTTAATCAAACAATTGATAAAAATTTATCTTTCGTAAATATCTAAGGCAGTCTACTATTTTTTACGAACGAATATTGATTACGTAGGTTGTAGGTTCGTGGAATAATAAAAAAAGAGAAAGAGAGAGAGAGAGAGAGAGAGAGAGAGAAAATACATCGATGCTACGATGAAAATCTAGAACGGTAAATACAATTCCGCTGTAGCTTTCAGCAACCGTTTCGCATTCCATTCAGAGAGATAGAAGAGCAACATTCGGTTTAACAAGTCGACCGAGGTCCCTTCGGCATTTTGTGGCCGTTTGAGCGATGACGACGAGGTGAAAACCACCGAGGGAGAACCTGTGGAACACTTGGCAGCGTACACTGAGGTCAATCGCTCGTGACGAAGGTTTTACAAGGGTGGGAAACGAGGGTCGGGGGCGAGACTATTCCAGCGACCATGGTTCAGCCTTCAAAGGTGGTTAAGTCGAGCCGAAGGTTGCATTTAGTGGCTCCTCTATGACACGTAGCCCGTTGTTCGATCTCGAACGGACGATTCCACTTCTTTTTCAAACAGGGTCGCGCCTGTAAGGAGGATTCGTTCTAGGTTTATTTCTGCAGGACGGATCTAATGAAATAACCAGGCCGGATTATAATTCTATTCTTATCGAAGATTGAACAAAATTCTACATTGTTTAAGAAGCTTCTTTTAATAGACGCTTGTATTTGTTTTTTCAAATTACTACGATTTCCTTTTCCATGAACTGATTCTTCGAGTTGCTCTGAGCAAGAAAGTTGGGGCATAACTACGAAAAACGTTGATCACTGATCTCATTATTACGATCCTTATTAAACGGATGTATGATCTTTTAAACAATCGGAAAACGAGCCTTCGAGTTTGTTGTAAAAATTACAGTTCAATCTGTGTCCGAAGGAAATTACACGAAATCGAACTGTTACTAAAAACTGATACTAAGCTGTTGTTTTTCCCGTATACTCGTCCTTTTATTCCTAATCGTGAACGTCAAGATCGTTTAAAGAGGAAACGCGCAAGGAGGTCGCGAAGTGACAACGTATCGGTCCATTTTCCGCTGTAAGAAGATGTCGACTGCATCGACCGAGGTCACCGGAAGTTAACAGCGTCGTGTACACGCGCGAAACGGGCCTTCTTATTTCTCCAGAGAAGGTTGTCAGACGGGGCGAAAGATTCTTCTTGTTGCTGCACGACGAGTTTCTTTCTCTCATCCGGATCGTTTTCTCTCGGTCTCGTCTCGTCTCGTTTCTTTTCTTCTTTCTGTATCGATCAGCCTCGCGAACCGACCCTCGTGATCGGAATTCAATCAGTTTCTTACGTCTGCCACCGCTGTCGACGACGAACGGATTGAATTTTTCAAATTTTAAAATTTCGCCGCTGAAAATTGGAACACTAATTGAGAATTGACCTCGCGTAAGCGAGCTTGGCAAATTTTCGCATTTAAATTTTACTTTTTCTTCTTTTCTTGGAAACGAAGCGTTATCTTGTAGAAGAATTTTATCCTATATTTTCCTCCTTGTTTTCTCTCTCTTCACTGATTGTCACTCTCCTGTCACTCTCCAATCTGGAATTAGCCAAAGCATACTTGGCGAATTTTCAAACTCTATTCTTTTCGGAAACAAAGTCTTACAAAAAATAATATTTTGAAATAATATTTTTTCCTCCTTTTTTCATTGGATACAAGAAGGAAATTCTTCCAAAGATATAATACGAATTAATATTTAATTTAATAATACAAATGGGCTTAATTCCTTTATAGAAATAGAAAATGTATACTGCATTTATTTATTTAATAAAATAGTACATTTATTTACATATACTAGAACATAGTGTTATAATAATATAGTATACTTTAAATAAGTAAAAAGTTTTATTATATTACTCAAAAGAAAATATACTAAATAATCGTACGAATAATAATGTTATTCAAAAGGAAATATACTCTATATAAAAGGAATTATGAGTCGATATAAAAAGGAAAACAATTCGATAAGGATTAGAGAGTCATTGCGTATAATAATTAATAAATTACAACCTCTGATAAAGTGCAATACCAACGTGTAACTCAAATTATGTGAAATTATTCAGAAGAAATATTAAATTTTCTGACGTTTCAAACAATTACAGCAATTTCACTACATGTACTGTTAAAACGTAGGTGACTTTTATCGCTTCGAGACTTCTCTTGTATCCAACAGTACAATTTTGTAAATGTAACGGTCGTTCTTCCTCTCTTCGTTCTTCTTTTTTGCGGATTAATTTGAGCAGGCAGTGTTCAACAAAGTTGAATTTACGATGTCTAATTGTAAGTAGTTTTCGGTCGAAAAAGCGATGGATTTTGAACTTGGAAGCATGATGCCTCTCTTCTGTGGAAAATTAACTTCGCAAGTTAATTTAACTTTTTAATTCGTAAGTGAACTTGACCGAGATGGCAAGTGAGGCGGTATAGATATTTTCGGATTGGATAATACGCGTAACTTCGAAACTAATTTCAATTGTTGAAATTTATTCAGGGAAGAATGATATATGTAGATAACGTGTCATTTGTCAATGTAGTATCTGCAGAATATAGACTCTTCAAGATTCAGAATTGTTCATAATTGTTGAAGACAGAGATTAACTAACAATAGCTGGGATCAATTGACTTAAATAGAGACCTAAAAATTCCTTATCGTCGATAAAATTTCAGTTTTACTTACAATTAGAGAAGTGTATCAAAGGTCCAAGAGAGGGATTAAGACAAATCCTGAATAGAATAGCACTCGTAATACTTTGCATAGACGTGAACGATAAATAGATTCTATCACTTTATCCTCCCTATCAATTACTAGCAAAATTTATCTTTATCGGAACACAGTAAGATCTGTAATGGCACCTATGTTTGCAGAGCATAGGACACGTTTGCCTGTTCGCCTACTACAACAGAAAACTTTGCTCGTAAAATAATGTCCGCGTATGTATATAGACATCGTCACGCCTCTGTTCTCTCGATTATGTCCGCAAAGAGGCATAGAAACCCCGGAGCGATTCGTTCTGCGGATGAGCATGTTTGCAGATCAGTTGGTCTACCGAAACTATCGTAGACCATCCGTCTGGTTTTGAAGTTCTCTATTTGGTTCTCGTTTTCGCCGATGTCTGTTTCAGGGCGATTAGATCTATTTAAGCACGTCCCGACGCCTCTGCTTTTCGCTTCCGTTTCGTATATACGTATCTTCGCTACTCCCCTTTCGCATCTGCAAAGAATTAATAAAAGGAATTAATGAAATAATGATAGTTTTGAGACAAATGAAAGATTGAAATCAATATTTTACGTTGGAATTTCGACAAAATTTTTAGTCTATTCTAGGATATATGATATTTGATTATTATAATTTTGATTATTCGTCTCTCTGTCAATTATAATTCACTTTCGTTGAATTTTTCAAACTTCTTTTCAGAATAGTAGTGCAGATAGTTGTTAGATTGCAGATCTTTGAGACTGTATTTACGAAAAATTTAAAGGTGTAACAATTACAGAGAATAGCAATTAGTGAAAAAAAAAAAAACAGTTTTCTACATAGTTTACTTCTTTTTTTTTTTTTTTACTTGTATTTGCACAAAAATCTCCAATTAGCATGTAAAGTAAATATACGTTCTAGCTCGAAAGTGTGAAATCTTTTTAAGAAGCAAGAATATTCTAATTACGACTCTGATTTTTTAAATACAATTAATCGATTTAGTTTCAGTATTACAAAAAAATAATATTACCAATAACATGTTTATTTAATAAAAGAAGCGGCTTCTTTTGAAACTTTCAATGCACTTTAAACTTTGTGAACGAAACGTACGTGTTCATTTAGTAAAAATATAATAACGATATTTTCTTCAATTATTGTATACTAGAACAGCTATATTGTACACTATTAAAATAAATTATAAGAAAAAAAAAATATATATATATATATATATATTTTATAATTTATAATTTAATACTAAAAATTATATTAAAATGCTGTCTGTTAATCTACGATTAAGAGGATGCGCAAACGACAACCTTGGTTATTCGCGGACTCCGATATCTCGATAAACGAGCCCCGTGACATTAGCGACGTCCCGATAGGAAACTGCAATTTTATGATAATCGACCAGAGGCCGTAAATCGTCGTGTTTGTAGCATTAACGGGGATTCTCTGTTTCGTTTCAGGTGGCCTGGATGCTTTTCGACAAGAGCGCTATCCTGACAGTACAAAGTCACGTTATTACCAGGAACCCGAGGATATCCGTGACGCACGATAAGCACAGGACCTGGTTCCTACATATCAAAGATGTGCGGGAGGACGACAAGGGAAAGTACATGTGCCAGATTAATACGGCGACCGCGAAAACACAGTATGGCTATTTGCACGTCGTAGGTGAGTCCCTGTAAAATATTGTTGTTCTACTAGGGAATTTAGAAGTGGAAAAGTCACGGTTAGGGATATTTTCGTCATTCTGTAAGCAGAATCGTGCTCTGTAATTACGATGATTATTTGGAATAGGACGCGCGACATTGATTACTCTAACCAGCAGAATCGTTCGTGAAGTGACATTTTTATAAATAAATTATTACGTAAGATTTATTGGTGATATTCGTTTTTATATGCGTTGCATTCAATTTTTAAATAACAATCGCCCTTTGAAATTACGATGATTATTTAGACAGGGTGTACGATATTGATCGTTCTACTAGCAGAATCTCTCGCTCATGGTAGAAAATTATCCTTTCATGAACAAAGTATTACATAGTCAAAATAATAGCGTTTGCGTACACATGATCATGATTTGAAATTACGAAAATAATTATTTACCGATTTATTCCAACATGGTCTCAAGTGCCAAGTATACTTCTGCGATATTTGCAAAAAGGATTCGATTGAACTTCAGTCCGAGGATGACGAAAAGTTTCAATAATACAAATAAGGAAAAAAAAAGTAGTAATGTCGAATCGACAAGATATCCGAAAATCATCGAACTGGATCGAAATTTTACCCCTATTCGAAATGATTATCAAAATTACTGTCACTTCCGTTTATCACATCGCGTATATTTGTTAAGTACATATTTTTATTGTCATTTACATTGTCATTGCTTCATTTTGAAAATAAATCGAGCACGCTTCGTTCGACTCGGGGTTTGTTCGATACAGTTACAAATTGGGACTCGTTCACCCGCGATCTGATTTTCGATCGTTTACACGGTATAATATTCACGCGAACCGTTATAATTATTCTGCCATTCTGTCCGCATTTCGCGGTTCAATTAACAATCACACTTTCACTACCTATGCTTTTTTATTTAAATGTTTTAATTACAATGTGCTATAACTTTTTAAATACACGTGCAATTTGTATGCGTGCATATGCTCTCGCGTAAAATTGAATTACACTTCGAATAAAATTCGAAATTCCGTCGCAAACGAAATGTTGCACAATGTTCAGCGAGACAATGAAAGGTTTAGTAAAATTTTCCAGATGTAGAGTGAAAAGAGTTTAAACGTTCGAGGAACTGCTAGAAACAGAGCTTTAACTATATGTTCGGTCGAGTTAGATAGTAGACGTCTGCGAGCTTGTTTGCGGTGAGCTGCTCTGACACATCGGATGCTTTTGGTAACCTAATTCCGCGAGTGATTAGCGGGTAAAAAAAAGCGGTTAATTTATAGTCGGCGTATGTTACGTATGTCACCTTCTTTACGAAGTTAAGATCCGGGTTTAGTTTAAAGCCAATTTAACTCTCCAGATTAAACGAACATTCATGCCCTTTATCAATTAATTGCCGAGGCAATAATAATATCAAGCAACTGTAATATCAAGCAAGGACAAAATTTATTCATTCAAGGCTTCGTTTTCGAAGAAAATCAAGTATGTAGGTTCGTCAACTAATACTTGAATTTAGCCGATTCTAGGATAATAACAGGATGGTTGTTCTATCTATGAAAATGAGTCAGAAGTGTGGAATACAATTTTCATTCTGTTGAGCAATTATAAATTACAAGACTGTACGATGAAGATACGAAATTCTAATAATACTTTTTTTTATGTTATGATGTAAAGATTGTGGTAATTTAATTAAATTATAGTTTGCTTTGGGACGTAGTTTTTAAAAAAATTTTTTTCCTTGTATTCTCTGTTAGATGAAGAGAGATTAAATAATTATACATACTTGAAATTACTTAACGTCTTTAGCGTGCTGTGTATGTAATTTACTCTAATATTATACTATTTTATCTATATTCGCTGTTTCCATTAAAAATTTTGAAAAGTGATATCCAAAACGAAGTTTCAACTTTGGAGTGTGTGGACTTTGTGACAACCAATTTTTAACTAGCTTTGTGAATATGTATCTAGCCATGTAGATAGTCACCAAGTAATATAGGTCAGCATGTAGTCAGACACCTGGTGATCAATGTGACGATATCGCTTGCTCAGTTACTTCGTTAACTTGCTATTTATCGATGAATAGAAATAACATTCGATTAATTAATAGATTTAAATATAATCTAAAAAAAGAAATATTAAATCTTTCCTTCCAATTTAATCTTCAACACAAGGGGGATACATGTGCTGTGAAATTCGGTAGAATAGTTATTTTATTAACAAATAAATATTAAAAGAATTATGTATATTTGAAATGCCACAAATATCATATACTATTGTAATACTGTTTCGATTTTAATAATACATTTCATAAATCAGAAAAAATAAAATATGAAGATGATTACATAGCCATCAAGTAGTATAGGTTAGTACATGATCAGACTGGTCTAGTAATCAGTGCGATAAAATTGCTCGTTCAATCACTTCATTAATTCGCTATTTATCAATAACAATAGCTGTTAACAATAGCTGGTAACAATAACTGTTATAAATAGCTAGAAAAACAGATTAAAGAATATATTTCTCTTCTGCGAAACGTAAGTGCAACGTCTAATTATCCTTTGATCGTTTTATCATTACACTGCGAGTACAGTTGTTCGCGAAGGTATTCGAAGATTTATAGAAACTTCGTCAATATGAATATATTACAGTAAAATCTCCTTTTTATTTGCAATTTTTAGTTTATAATTTTTTTAACTACTAGCAGACGATCTAATTTGAGCAACACCACAATTTTACGACAATTGAGATACAATAGCTCCCACGAAAGAGATTCTGCCGTACACGAAACACTTTAACACCGATCAGGCGATCGTGATTATGTCATGTGTCGAGTTCGAAGCAGTTCGAAAAAACGTTTGAAAGGGATCGTCTCGCGTTTCGACGATCGACGAAACCGTCGAGAGGGACAAGCGGCTGGACGTGATAGAATCCCAGGGATTGAAAGAGAGAAAGAGTATGTCCGGGCCTCGGCGAAGGGACAGAGGAACGATAATTTAATCAGCGGAGGAGAGGGTATCCGCGAGGCCGAAGGGTGAGCGTGTCGGGGGCGAGCCGGTCTCTTCGTTCTCTGCCATCCGGCAGAACATATTAATATCTCGAGTTTGACGTCTGAAGTCGTCGGGCGGAGCGGAAGCTCAGCCGTTCGCCAGGATGGGAAGGAAGAGGGGGACGGTGGATGTTTCAGTAGTCGGTGGAGTAATCAGAGGGCTAGATTAATTGTTTCCACGGGACTCTTGGCCCGGCGTAGCACAAATACACGGAAGACTTCGAAACGGTACTTCGTGATAATGCCGACGGAACAGACACAATGCAACCCCTGCCATAACTCAGCCTCTCCTCCCGCTATCCCTCTCTCTCTCTCTCTCTCTCTCTCTCTCTCTTTTGGATTTGGTTACGCAAGGAAATTTGGAAACGTATAACGTGTGTAAATATTCCATACGGACCGAGTCACTTAAAGTTACCACCTGAGGCGTTTACCTTGCTGCCTGAGCTAATAAACGGGTTTTCACGAGTTTGACGATTTCGACGGCTCCTCTCTTACTCTCTTTCTCTGTGTATGCGTGCGTGCGTGCGCGCGTGTGTGTGTGTGTGTGTGTCTCTCTTTCTCTTGCTCCGCGCCTGAATTCACGTGTAAATTATCCGGGAATCGTTGCCGCGCTGTTTACCCGACGCTGGAGCACGTTTCTCGCACGCCACCGCGTCGAACACTCCTCCGGAGGAGTGGCCCTGAAACATTCGATTCCGGCGGAATGGATTTCGACAGCCGAGCCACGCCGGCGAATAGCCCGGCTTGTTTGGCCGCCGGGTTTCGAGAGGAACGTTTCTTTGTGAATTTCGTTTTCGTTTGTTAAGAGCCGAGCGTGGTTCCGTTCGAGGGATCAAGGAGATTCGCGTCGATCAAATGAAAGATAGGAATTACATAGGGACGTTGAATTCTCTAATTGCGAGGAATGTCCGTGTTACGTGGAAGATCGTTAAAAAGGGGTTCGAGACGATGCTAAGTGTACATTTGGATAAATTTGTCTTTTCGATGGTCGCTTCTACTCGATGGTTAAGCGCGGATGTAAAAGTTTATTAGATTGATTTAGAAGTTTCCGTGTGATTTAAAAGATCATTTAGATCAAAGAAAAGGTTTAAAAGGTTATCGTAAATTCGATGGTTGGTTCCTTAACGTGGGGAAGATTTGTTGAATAAGTCATTCTAATGAAAAGTAGATTTCAAATCGAATATCAATATAAAAAGGGGAAATCCTACTTATAGAACTTCTTTCGTACCTGACAATTATTTCATTTCATTTCACTTCACTTCGTTTCGTCTCGTTTCATTTATTATTCACGAGTGATAAAAGCTTCGGATGCGCGGAATTAGACAGTTATTGGTCCGAGTTCGTTACCATAAATTTCCAGCGAACGAGCGCAGGGAAGAGAGTTACCAAAATTGTTACAAGACAGAAATAGCCCGAATTTATGGCAAAGGCAATTATCTAAGTAAAACGTGGTTCGTGCACGTAACACGTGCGCTTTGTACCATCCCAAAGAGAGAGAGAGAGAGAGAGAGAGAGAGAGAAAAGCTGAAACGATTCCACTCGGTATATACAAGTTTCATCGTGTTATCCTGCCGAACGATACACTGCGAACGTGTGTACTGGCCAATCAATTTTCCGTCGTAGCGACACCCCATGAAAGATTCCCCTTGGAACGTGGCACGCCTAACACGTCGTCGGCATCCAGCTCCCGCCATTGAATTCCGCGATGATCCATGAATCGAAGATAACGATAACTCGATGATCGCTCCGTTTTATCCGATATCGTATACACACCATCCTCTGCGTATGTACTTCTCTTCCGTATCTCTCGATCAGAGATCGTTCCTTCGTTTCGCTTCGAGCCGCTTGGTTCTTTTTCCTCTTCTCTCTCTCTCTCTCTCTCTCTCTTTCTCTCTATCTTTTTTCTTCCTTCGCTCTCTGTCCTCCCGTAAATAAGGCGGAAGCCGGAGAC